ACAATTTATTCTATAAGAAGTAATTGCACAAGTGCACAAAAGTTTGTTTATAGAAGTATTTCCTATAAGATTGTGTATAAAGAAAACTAAGAAAGCAACTTTTAAAAGTGTATTTGCTAACACACTGGTGCATCGCTGTAATGGAGTGCTGTGCAATCCTAACAAAACAGGAGCTGAACTGTGGCGATGTTAACATTTTGTTAAGTGAATAAAGTAAGCTACAGGACAACTTATAAAACAAAACATCTAAAAAAAGAACAATTTACATTTACATTTCTGTAAAGAAGAAAACTCGTGTGTGTGTAGGCTGCACGCATGTGAAGGTGCTCACCAGGCCGTTTACAGTGACGACCTCTGAGAGGGGGCTTGGCAGATGAAGGGACGAAACAGAGACTTTCCTCTCTCTTTACGCGTGCCCGAGGCGTTCCCATTGTTTACATTAGTGTGTATCACTTCTGTGGTAGTAATTACCGTGCCCATTTAAAATAACTGAAAAAGATTTATCCTTAGTTCCATGTCTTTTCAAAAATATGCTACTTTGTGATTTTTAAGAACTTCTTGAGCTCACAATGTATGTATCCCACAATAGTGAGTTGACCTTTTCAAAAGCACATAATAGAATTAAAGCCTCAGTAAATGTTGCTGTTCTAACTTTGTTTTATCAACATTTTCAGCAATGTCTTCAATGATCAGAAATCAAGAGAAGAGGATACAGAAAGTCAAAGACCAGGAAAAAATGTTACTAAAATAATACATTGCTTGCCTAACCTTTACAGAGAGATGATGCCCAATTAATTGTGGTGTTACCTATAATTAGTGCCCCGTGAACTTTTTTCTTTTTATGTGAAAATTTAATAAAAGTTACCCTGTCCTGTAAACTCTATTTTGAAATAAAATATTCTTGAATGCTCTCCCAGTAAAATTTCAAGCAGTACTAGATAGTTGTGAAAGTATTCATAACTTACAAGGTATCGATTTGTACTAATGTTTTGGCATAATTATGTGTTTTTTAATATTTGTGCTGGTGCTGAGGCAATAGTTGTTTTTCTTCAACTGAACAGACAACTTTCACAGGAAAGTGAAAGATGTGGGGTGATGCCCAGAACAGCACCAGCACCCTGCACTGACAGGGGTTCCTTCTGTGACCCCAAACTTGCTGCGTGTTCTGTCAGTGTCGGTGAGTGTGAGCCGGTAACAAAACACTGGGATCCCCAATCGAAACTTTTGAAAAAGTGTCTCTTTTATGTATTAAGAACTATAAAGAAATAAAGAAAACGTGTTATTCTTCAGTGGGTAGCTTCTTCAGATCAAATGGATTCAGTCTGCCTTAGTCAGATTTTAATAAACCAGGAGGGTTTGCATGTGGAGTGTTTCCCAACACGAATTACCCATTCTCTGTGGACACCAGCTGCTGTCCCACAAGCCGGTTCAGTTCTGACACTATCTGGAGTTAATGCCAGATTCTACAGATTTGAGGGCTCAAGCTCTTAAGACTGCTCCCACTTCAGATGCCAATCAAAAGTCCCAGATCAGCGGTACTTTTTGACTAACAGGTTGTAAATTGGGGGTTCTTACAACCTACTCCTGAGTTTCAGTGACTTGCTAGAATGGGTCATGGAACTTAGTACTTTAGTTACTATTACTGGTGTGTCACAAGGGAAACAACTCAAGAACAGCACCGTGTAAGAGCTGCATAGGGCAAGGCTTGGGGACCTGGAGTATGAAGCTCCCCTGCCCCTCTGGGTGTGCAACCCTCTCAGCACCTAGATGTGTTCGCCACCCGAAGCTCATTGAATCCCCTCATGGTCAGGAGCTGCTTAACAACAAGGACATGTTCTGCGAAATGTGCTGTTGGACAATTTCATCATTGTGCAAACATTATTGAGTGCACTTTCACACACTTAGGAGGCAGAGCCAATTACCTACCAAGGCTGTGTGGTATAGACTCCTGCTCCTGGGCTACAAGCTTGTACAGTGTGTTACTGTATTGAATACTGTAGGCAGTTGTAACACAATGGTAAGCATTTGTGTATCTAAACATATCTGAACATAGGAAAGGTGTAGTAAAAATATGAAAATATGATGTAAAAGATAAACAATGGTGCACCTATATAGAGCCCTTACAGGTGAATGGACCTGGCAGGAAGGACTAGAAGTTGCTCCGGGTGGCTCAGTGAGTGAATGGGAAAGGTAGGTTGTCATAGTACACTACTGTAGACTTTGTGAACACCTCACATCCAGTCTACACTAAATTTGTGAAACAACATGAGATTAAATCAAGCACAAGAGAAAATGATGCAATCAAGAGATTTGGAAAGCATATGATGAGGCTGCTGCCAATGCACCAGGGCATACTGTTTTGTAGCAAACTTTTGATAAGTAAAGAGAGTACACTCCAAAATGACAGTTAAACCGTATAGTATAGGTAATATGTGAACTAGTAACACACTCGTTTACTGTCAAGGAGCATACACTGTGAGTAACTGCATGCGTAGGCTTTTATACCATTGGCAGCGCGGTGGGTTTGTTCACAGCAGCCTCACCACCACAAACTCGGGAGTGATGCTGGGATGTTGGGGTGGCCGCCACCTCACTAGGTGATAGGAACTTCTCAGCTCTATTATAATCTAATTCGGTCCCTAGGGCCATAGTTGACCAAATAATCCTTATTAGGCACTTTACCATTTTCAAGAGTTTTTAGAGCTTAGTCTCATGTTCTCCACCCCCTCCCAGAGATTGGTAGGTGGGACTTCCAAACGTCTATTCACTATGTCTTTCTGGTGACCAGCTCAATCCAGAGGCTTTATAGGGGCTACACCGTAAATCACCTCATTAGCACAAACTCTGGTGTGATCTAAAAAGCCTCATTTTGAATAACAAAAAATACTTCCAATCTCCCAAGAAATTCCAAGAGTTTGAGTAACTCCGTGCCAGGAACTTGGGACAATGACTAAATATAATTATACCCTGTTGTACCAGACACGTGAACCAAACAACAAAACAAAACAGGAACAAATAAATAAAAACGCTTCATAAGTCAAACATACTGCATGTAATGTAGAGGTTAATATACTTAGAAAAAAAGTCTGAATTGTTTTTTTGCCTGAGGCTGTATAAGCTGTTTCAGTCTTACCTCCACCTCTACAACGTGACATGAAAGCAACATATAATTTTCTAGCTGCAGAAACACAGAAGCCCTTAGACTCCCTTCATGGTCCATAAGGCAAGTCATATTAAACACATATGCCCTAGGGATTGTAGGAGAAGGAGCTTTGGGTGACAATTTTGCAGAGTTGCCTGCCAGGAGTCTCTACTCACAACAAGGATTGCAGAGAGGCCCAAACAGCACCATTTGTCCTTTCTGATGTGTATATGGCTTAGGAAGAGTTTTAGCCTGCAAAACAGATGAACTGAAATAAAATAGGACGCCCAACTTAAATGTTTCAAAAAGAAATTTCATCTTTTCCTCTAAATGAAAGAACAAAGAAAGAAGAACTTTATGACATAACTAATCAAATGAAAAATTCAAGAGAAAATACTTCTCACATGCATACAACCCAGAGAACGAGCTTAAGCTTTGAAATGATGAACGTCAGCTACCAAAATAATATTGGAACACACAAAGTGAATTTGAACTTCAAAGATCCTCCACAGAACTGCCCACCCTCCGTGTCTCACCATAAATGCTGAATATATTTATGGTGGGGAAGAAGAAATGCGCTTTCCCCACGAACAAAGCGTCCCACCAAACAAACTGAAAACTCCACCCATAAGCTCCGAATATTTAACGTTAAATACTTCTTGTAACATAATTTATCATAAAAATGCTATGGGCCAAAAAGCACCGACAGGTAAACAGCTCTTTCAAGCACTTTGCTAACACTATTTTCAGCTTCGATCAGTCCTTTCTCCTGCAAAAAGAGCATCTAGTAGATTAGAAATAGCTTATGGTCACAATATTGTTGAAATTTATTTGTTAACAATACTTTTTACTTTTTTTTCTGGGTAAATAATTTTTGAGATGAACAAACCCAACCATATTCTTCCAAAAACATGAACTGAACCAAGAAAGCACAAAGCAGGCAACTCACACCTTGTGTATATAATGAAGACTTCCAAATACAGCCTAAAGAATAAGATGTGAAGTCTTTTAGCTGTAACTTAACCCTTCCTCCACCTCTGCCCGCACCCGCGAAATGCAAACACATATCGTCATGGTTTATTCTTAGTGATCGCGATTATTGGGGGTGTTATGATTTAGAATGTCAATCATAGCTGAAGGTGGAGAACCTGAGTTTAATTTTCAGTTGTATTACAAGTAAGTTTCAATGTCATGATGCTTTTCAGGGATAAAGAGCGGTTTCACGCCGTCCGGCAATAACCACGTCACCGAATTTCGCCAATACAAGATTTCGGTCAAGCCGAGGTGGCTGAAGGAGAGGCTTGAAGCACAAACTGGTGCACAGGCAAATGAGAACTTCAAAGTCAAATCCAAATCACTTAGCTCGTTAAGAGTTTATTATTCCACTTGTTTCACAAACAACCTTGTATCCATCCCTTTCTGAAAGCGTCTGAGGGTTTAACAGAATGCCCTGACAATATACCAAACCATATACTTAGCTGCTTTTAAACCATGCCAGGAAATCAAGTTTCCACACACATCGATAGAACCACGAGTTGATTTATCGTCCCCCAGAGGCTTATGTTACACATTGAATATTTTTTCAAAACACGATGCAAAACAAACTAGCTTGAACGACTAGTCATGAGCCTCCTCGCAATACCAACCAGGCTCTTGATCCCTTGAACCTGGAATGGACAAACCAGGTCCTGATCGAAACAGCAAGCGAAGTTTATCGCTCAATGCCTGCGCCGAGGATGAAAGCTTCGCATATGCGTGATGGACTGCACGGCCAAGCCTCCATCGCTAAAGCCCGTGCCTACTTGAAGATTGACTGGTCTTTGTAGTTATCCATAGTATGCATGGAGAATGATCTTCTACACATTAGATGCACGCCATTAGTAAATCAAACTCAGTTAAACTTGGAGTTGTACTTCCTTCATTTTAAATTATTGAGTGTGTTCCACAACTTTAGCCTCTTCCACATTCTGCAACAGCTTCTTCAATACTTTGCAAACTGAATCAGTGAATCCCCCAACACTTGTGAACCAATTTATTATCCTCATGGCCAGTCTCTAGAAACCTATTGCTGCATTCTTCCCAGCGAGTAACTTCTCCATTCTCTACCACCACAAACTTCCATTGCACCACTGTATCTGCTGGCAGGGAGACCGAACGAGACCAGAACCCACCCTTGCTATACTGGAGGGGGACGTAAGCGTTCCATCTCCCAAGCTTCTCATGGTCTCCAGTTACTGCAATGAATTGCACACTAGCACTTGTGATATAATGGACCTGGAACCTGACACTAACTTGCTGAGACCCTGAAGTCTTAGCTACTTCCCTTTTTGTTTTAACATCCACTTCCTGACCTCGTGTTTCCATAAGAGTGTTTTTGCCATAGTCCATTCCTAGGTTTGGGTTTAACATTGGATCCTCAAGACTGCCACCCAAACGGATGTCTCCCCAAGATGAGTGCCTGGACACCATCTCCCAGTCCTCCTGGTCAGCCGAGTCCTGACTATCCAACCGTGCAAGGCTCACTTCCTCTTTACCGCTGTCCATGAGCAGGTTGCTAGAAGGCAACTTCTCTGCAAAACACGGAGCTGCGTTAGCAGGTGTCTCTTGTCCTTTCTGGACTCCCCATTTTCCTACACGAGATCCACGGCTTTCATTTCTTGAAGTTTCACAGCAACCCCCAGAGTAGCCAGTCACAGATGCAGCTATAGATTCTGTGTCCAGAAACCGTCCAAAAGGAACATGCTGTCTTGAATTGTCACAGTCACCAGCTTCTCCAGAAGGACCCCGCAGTCTCCATGCTGCCTCCTGCACGCTACCAGGGCCTTTGGTCTCTGAAACCAAACACCCATTGCTTCCTTGAAGATGCTCTATAAAAACAATGTAATAGGCAGTTCTCGTGAGAAACAAGTAAGTTGGGTGGAGAAAAAGTTTAGTCGGTGAAGACTTTACCGGTAATCAAGCTGCATTTCACAAAATCCATCCCTGCTAAAACCAAGTACCTAATTGCCTAGTTCAGACACTGAACCAATACTGTGTGCTAAGAATGCCCACGTATATCCAATAATAAAAGGCTTATCCAGGAGGTGGATGGGGGTGAGGGGTGGGGGAGGATGGTCTTTAATTTTCTCTTTAAAGGCGGGGTTGGAAGTAAGAGGGAAACAAATATTACTCTGAATTCCCCCAATCTTTCCACCTAAAACACAAGGGCAGATAAAGGAAGATGAGCGCTCTGCTCATTCCAAACCAATGGCAGGAAAGGCACAGGGGCAGATTTTCACGTTGGTTGCACGTGAACAGCATTCCACTAAAAATAAAGTGCCCAGATGTCATTCCCACCGAAGCTGGATCCAGGCGAGGGCAACCAGCCCGGCAAGGACGCTGGTCCTGCCAGTGTTTCCACTTTGCCTAGCATACCCTCTCTAAAATGTGGAGATTTAAACCTGGACGTCAATTCGGAGTTGCGTCCTCTATTAAGAACCCTTACTAAGTCCCTTCCCCAGGAAATAGACAACCCCGCGCTGTTGCGGTGAGCGTGCGTGCGAGGGCCGCCAGCTCCGAACCCGGCGTCCAGCGCGCAGCCCCAGGGCTCCAGCACAGGCCTAATGGCCAGAGTCCAACCTGAACTTTGCCCTCCTGACAGAAGCAACCAGAGAGCTGGAGGTGCCCACTCTTCGGGTGTTCCCAAACCCAGCTCTTCCATGGAGTGAGGGATGGGAGGGTATGAGTCTATGCAGTTGACACTGATGAAGTATCCCTGCTCGAACAGAAATTGAAGAAGGTTGCAGAGTGCCCCTAAACCACCACACTACCTTCCGAAGCGGGGGAGGAGTGGGGACCGCGCCACTGCCGTCACTCGCATTGCACCACGTGCCGCCAAGTGGAGTCCATCCCTTTTTGCCGGGCGCTGGGGACCCAGACTGTGGGGCGCCGCCCTAGGACGAACCGCCAGGGCATTTCCAGGGCCTCCGTAGGGGGCGAGAAACCTGTCCAGTGCGAGCTCCCCAGCGTGGGAAATACTGGGCGTGGGAGGGTCCTACCCCGGGCAGGGAAAGCTGGTCCAGGGACCGTGCAGCTAGGATGGTCCAGGAGGAATTTCAAAGACCCCTGGTGGATCTGCCCTCGAGACACGGAGAGAAGAATACCTGGTTTGGTGACCAGCTCGGGCCTGGAAGGTGCGGGACTCAGTCCGCTGCCACCACTAGGATCGCCTCCCGCAGCCACAGCCTTCCCAGGAGTGGCGTCCTGCTCCTGCTCCTGCTCCTGCTCCTGCTCCTGCTCCGCGTCCCCCTTCTTTCCCTTGTCCCGGATCAGCCAGATGAAAAGCGCACCGGCCAGACCGCCTCCGACCAGCAGAGCAGACCAAACGGCGCCCATGGCTGAGAGGCCGCAGCTGCGGGAGACAACGTCGACAGGGATCGGGCTCAGGTCACGAAGGCAAAGCCACACCTACCCCGCCCGCTCGAGCCTTTTACGGTCCTGGTTGGCCGGCGCTCCGGCCGGGAGGCCAGCCCTCCGGGTCTAAAACTCAACTTTCCCAGCCACGCCCCGGGGCTGCAGCCCCAAGCTCTGGCTGGGCGACTCGAGCGCCCTCCTTTTCCAAAGTTTTCCATTATCGACCCCGCCAGTTGTCAGTTCTAGTGCACGGGGCGCCCCATTCCAAGAGTGTTTCGCACGTGTAAAGAACCCAAATGCGCACAGCCACCGCGCGCAAAAACCAGTCCCGCTCCACCCCTTTTCCTTCACCTCTGTCCGAGGGACTCTTCGCAGCAGCGCAGCGAGCTAGAGGCGGGAGCTTCCCGGAACGTAGACGCAGGAGAGGCCAAGGTGCTGTAGTGACCGCTGGGACTACGGCTCAGGCTGCAGCAGTAGCTCTGCCGCCTGGGTGGGGTAAGCAGGGAGCTCTGCGGACACAGTGAGGGGAAACCCGGAGATCTAGCTGAAGCTCCAAGCGGCCGCCCGTTAGATGTGCTTTGCTCCCCAAGCCTCCGCCTCCAGAGGATTGGACTGAGAGCCGTACATCTATAAATGCCAGTCATCTCAACTACTTCCAGTCGTCGCTTCTTCCCCGACTTCTTTTGGGGAGGGGGGGTGTGAGGGGAGAAATGCGCATTCTCAGGGACTGACTGGATGTTGCTCAGGGACAAGCTCTTACAGATGGGCTTGTTAATACAAATAGACACACTCTTTGTTGAGCGCTGTGTGGCAGTTGTATAACGTATGCATTAGATTTGATCCTCACAAATACCGCCACCCTGTGATCTAAGAATTTGCACACTCGTTTTGTTAGAAATCAAAATCCAACCTAGTAAATGTGAAGATCTAATCGGCTTTATTAAGCAATTTATGAGTGGCGCAGCATCCCATCTAGCAACTAGAAGGGCATTCTGAGGCCTTCTACAAAGTGAAGGGTCTTGCAGGAAGATAACTGGGGAGAGAGGCATTATGGAAAGAAAAGGATTATTTTGGTGTTGGAACATCTTTTGGGGGGAAGAGATGGGGAAGGTGTTTATTATGTAGATTGCCTCTCCTTCCCACGGGCAGGGGGACACAGGGGCTGATTCTGGGAGAGGCTGAAACTGCAGTTAGGTTGGGAATTAAATCTAATTTTGGCATCGTGGGTTTTTAGCAAGAATAAAGCCCTTGGGGCCTGTGTGTGTGTTTTCTTTAACACTTTCTAAATTCACTCTTCTGCTGATCTGACAATTTAACACAAATTCTTTTTTAAAAATGATTTTATGTATTTGTTTGATACAGAGGTGAAGGGAGGGAGAAAGAGGGGAGAGAGACATCAATGTGTGGTTGCCTCTCACGTGTCCCCTACTGAGAACCTGGCCCACAAACCAGGTATGTGCCCTGACTGGGAATCGAACTGGTGACCTTTTGGTTTGCAGGCCAGCACTCAACCGACTGAGCCACACTAGTCAGGTCTACACAACAACTTCAGGCTAATGATTCCCACTTTTGTATCTGCAGGGTGAGACTTCGCTTTGAACTACACACTCCTCACGCAATTGCTAAGGCCACAGCTGACAAATAGCTGCCTTGGAATCATTACTAAAATGGCTCCCTCTGGTAAAACAAATGGCTCACATGTGCCCCATGCTTGATCAGACAGCAATCCGTAATGGGACGCCGGGCTCAGTCACAGGAGTTGCTGGAGGGCTGGTGCATACCTTGGTGCAGGAGGTCACAACCCCTGCAATTATAAGGGAGTGCGGAGGTGGGGGAAGATGGGGAAGGAGACCACCAACTGGTCTTTTTCCCTCTTGGATGATAACAGACAACTCAAACCAAACTCACTCATGTCTGAACCCCTGGTCTTCCTGCCCAAACCTGCTACTTGCCCTGTCTTTCTCATCTCAGGAAGTGGCGACCACATCCTTTCCCACTGCTGAAAAAAAAATCAACTTAAGAGTCATCCTTGACTCTCCTTTTATTCCCTCTCGCAGTAGGCAGTAGCAAATTCTACCACTCTTTCCTCTAAATATATTCAGACTCCTACTTCTCTCCACAGTAAATGCCACCCTGGTCTGCCACCATCATCTCTCACCTGGATTATTGCTGTCACTTCTCACTGCTCCCCCTGGTCCTACACTTGAGCCCCTACTAGGGCTCCTGTTAAAAACATTCTCATAAACTGCTTCTCTGCCCAAGAGAAGCAACTGCCTCCAATTGCTCCACAGCTCATGGTGAAAACCTCCAGATCCTAGAGGTCATGAGAATCTGTCCCTCGTGACCTCTCTGAGCTCATAGCCATCTCCTCTAGCTACACTGGTTTCCTGGACAGAGTCATCCTCCCCCCAGACATCCATCCAGATGTCTATCCTGTCTCCCTCATCCTCTTCAGGTCTTTGCCCAAGTGCCACCGCCCTGTGAGGCTTTCCTTGATAGTCCAATTTTAACCATAACCTCCTGCTCCCCATTTCCTGCCCTGCTTGATTTTTCTCCTTAGCATTCAGGCATCACCTCTAATATGCTTTTTAACCCATGGATTTATTCTGTTAATTTTTCTTTCTTCTCTTTAGAACATAAACTACATGAACGCAGGGTTTATTGTCCTTTGTTCTCTGCTGAATTCCCAGCACCTAGAACATTCCCAGAGTGGTGCCTCAGAAGGTGCAGGTCGAGTGAATGAACTACTAAACGTTCCATGTGTTCTCCATCTGGACCATTATGGTCGCCTTCTTTACCTGGATTCTATGGACATTTTTAAGTACAACACAGGTGCTACCTTTTTGTCAGGGTTTCACGGCTTAACCTAATTAGGGATTCAATAGTAGACTTTTTAAAGACCTTTAAAGTTTAAAACCACTGAAAACCACCCATACATCTCACATTAGGCAGCCTAAGATAACAAGACCAATCTTCAGATGAGTATGAAAATATTAAAAAGTGGTAGTAAAACTATATTTTTAAGAAAATGAACGTCTCTCTGTAAAACAGCATTGTCTGTGGGCTGTCTTTTATGGACTCCAGCTCCATTACAGAAACTGTGTTGCTAACTGGTTCTTAAATTTTGAGGCTATGATAGATAGAATTAAAACCAGAATTTTGAAGAAAAATTTGGATTTGTTCTATATTCTATTGTCAAACTAAAAATTGATGCTATAGAATATCTTAGAATGTTATGGACTCTAAAGCCAGTAGAATGATTTTACAAATAAGATGAAAATCCTCCAACATTTTCTTTTTATTTCCTTACTGATAACTTCAGTTGCTACTTCATAGGTCAAAGTATTTTTTATCAATGTGCTAATGAGTAAAATGAGTGTATCTATAAAATCTTGGAATTCAATCCCCACAATACATTTCTAATACCCAGAAGGCTCTTTTAAAAGTTTTATTGTCATCAATTGCTATTCTACTGATTTAAAATATAACCAAAAAATAACACAATTCTTCCCAACCCATTAGTATCAGATTTAATATGCAGCATTTTAAAAGAACATTATTTGCCTTTTCTAAACTTCAATGTTGATTCATTAATTTTTTGTTGCTGCTTTAAAAAAATACTCTTTACTACCATATTTATTAAAAGCCTATAGCCACATATTCTAAAAACATTTTTACAGCAGCAATAATACTGTTTATCACTATACAATTGTAAAATAATGTTCTTTGCCCCTATATAGAAGACCGCTGAGCCTAGGAAGGCAGATTCAGCAGGGATGAGGGAGGAACATGATAAGTTCTGTGAAATGTGTTAAATTTAAGGCGCTAGTGCGAGACTTTTCTAGGGGTCTGTGGTTTAAAGAGAGACACTGGAAATTCCTCACAGACAGGTGGCAGTTACATCCATAATGAAGATCAAGGTTCTGAAGGGAAATCAAGAATGAGCCTAACTTCAGCCCTTTGCATAATTTCAAGAAGAAAGGTTGGAAAGCTGCTTCCGTGTTGATAATTATATTACAGTTATGTCTGGTGTAATATTTTAGAGGCCATAATAATAATGCCCATGTTCTAATGCTTATTATCCTATTAAATAGAATATAAATAGAGAGGTATAGCTATGGATGGATATTTTCAGGTCTTTTGTATATATGTGTGTGTGTATATACACTCCTCCTCTTCTTTTTCTTTAACCTTGTGCAAGAAAAGATTGCTCGCTCACTCCTGGTATAGAGTGATGTGGTGAGGACAAAGCAACGAAAAGCAGCATTACCTGCAGGGCTGCAGGCATTAAAGAGGGTGGGAAGGAAGAACTAGGGAAGAGAATTGGGATACTCGTTTCCAAAGTCGGGTATAGAAGGCAGTGCGGAGGGGGAACGGGGATGTCACTCCGCAGTTTAAGTGGATAGGGGACTGAGAAATTTGGGTTTGACATGTAAGAGGTCATTGGTAACTGAGCAGTGTTTGTAGGTGTGGAGGTTCAGTTTCAAAAGGCTGAGGTGGTAAAAGCTGTGCGGTCCATCTTTGAATTAATCCTTTCTCGAGAAATTTGAGGCAAAAGGTAGAAAAGAAGTTGAGCGACCTAGCTCAACCTAGGTCGGAGAGCGACCTAGGCCTGTTTGTGGGCAGGAAAGTCAGTGCATATAGGAGAGGAAATACTCGCTGGGATTCCATAAGAGAGAGGAGGCCATGGGTCAGGCATGCCAGTGGAAGGGCAGGCCTTGGATGGAAAAGGGAGAGGAGATGGACTTGAAAAACAGAAGAGTGGACATTAGAAACATTTTGAGGTGCCAAGGAGGCAGGAAGTGAGGTTATCAGCTGAGAGAGAGAAATGAGATAGGGTTGAGGTTTGAGGAAAGCAGAGGATGTAGGAAACAGCCATTGGGAGAAGAGGTTGCCCTTTGGGAGACCTCTCCCTCATTGAGCCCTGTTGATTCTTCAATCATGGGCCTCTCGCTTGGCCCCCTGCACTGTCGTTCCCAGGGCCCTGGCCCCCACTGAGGCCCACTCCCTCTGTCCAGACAACACAGTGACTTCCTAATTCACCTCTGCACT